GAACCAGAGGGAGGACCCCCACCTAGCCAAGGCTTTGTTTCCAAACAAGAACTTGCTAGAACTAGCTAGAGGTGGCTCCTATGTGTCCTGTTTTCAGCAAGAGTGGGTGAGTGTCTTGAACTGAATATAGGGTATCTTGAAGTCTGCCTTGTCTGACACTATTACAGCATACCATTCTTGTGGTTTATATTTGCTATATCCTTTCATATCCTTTTACCGTCAACCTATTTGTATTTATATTTATACACACACACACACACACACACACACATATTTTTTTTACGGTACGCGGGCCTCTCACTGTTGTGGCCTCTCCCGTTGCGGAGCGCGGGCTCCGGACGCGCAGGCTCAGCGGCCATGGCTCACGGGCCGAGCCGCTCCGTGGCATGTGGGATCTTCCCGGACCAGGGCACGAACCCGTGTCCCCTGCATCGGCAGGCGGACTCTCAACCACTGCGCCACCTGGGAAGCCCCCTGTATTTTTATATTTAAAGTGGTGTGCTGAATTGGGAGATTCGGATTGACATGTATACACTGATATGTATAATGTGGATGACTAATAAGAACCTGCTGTATAAAACAATAAATAAAATTCAATTTAAAAAAAAGTATGATCCTCAAAAGAGTCACATAATTCTAAAAAAAACTTGAGACAATATTTTATAAAATATTTAATTTTACTCATATGCTTTGTTAATTCATTGAAAAGCACGTATTTAGCACCTATTATAAGCCAGAACTGCATTATATATAGGGATTATAACAGTGAGCAAAACAACTACAGTCTATGACTTCACGGAAAATTCAGCCTCTACTAGGGGAGCTTCACAATGATTATATAATCATGCAAATATATAATCAGTTATAGAATATTTTAGGTACAACAGGTACAGAGAGCTATGTAAATATATGATACAGGGGCAGAACTCAATGACTGACTGGATGTGGGAGAAAAAAGGTCAAGGATTAATTTTGGTTCTTGACTGCAAACATAGCTGGAGACGTTCACAGATATAGGAATCTTAAAAGGTCATTGCATTGCACAATTTCACAAGGCATCATTCACATGTTTGCAGTGAAAATCATTAACTTCTTTGGCTTTGTACACAAGCTTGATATTCATTTGAAAGATCTAAGAAAATCTGGCATGTAGGCAATTGGATGTATGCATGGTAAACTCAGGGAAACAGTTTGAGGTGGAGAAATAAATGAAGCCACAGAGAATAAATGAAGCCATGAGATTGTAGAGAAAAGATACAGGATGTGAAGAAAATAGCATCTGTGAAGCTAAAATATTTTAAGGCCTCATAGTGGTCCTGAGCAAAGAATACAGACTAAGAATAGCCAGATAAATAGAATGAAAATCAAGACAGTATGCTAATTAGCTTAATGGTGGTAATTATTTCATGATGTATACATATATCAAAGCATCACGTTGTACACCTTAAATATGTACAATTTTTATTTGTCAATGATACTTCAATAAAATTCTTAATTAAAAATAAATAAATAAATAAAGTGCTTCTTTTTAAACAGCAAAGACTGATAAGATCTTGCTTTGTTATTCTGTCTTTGTTATCTTGCTTTGTTATTCTCTGCCTTTTAATTAAAATATTTAGATCATTTACATGTAATATGGTTGGGTTTGAGTAATTTGAAAAAAATACAACACACTTTCATGACACTCTCAATAAATGAGGAATAGAAGGGAACTTCCTGAACCTGATAAAGGGCATCTACTAAAAAACCTACAGCTATCAGCACACTTAATGGTGAAAAGACTGAATGCTTTCCTCCTAAGACTGGAACAACAAACTCTAACTACTTATATTCAAGACTGTAGTGAAGGTCCCAGGTAGTACTATAAGACAAGAAAAATAACATGATTGTGTAAGCAGAAATGCCTAAGAAATCTATACGGAAAAGAGCTACAAGAATTAATGAGAGTGAACAGCTAGCTTACCAGTTACAAGTTCAATATCCAAAAAGTAATTGTATCTCTATATACTAGCAATAAAAATTGGTAAATAAAAAATATTTAACTTCTGCTAACAACATTCAAAAACGTGAAATACTTCAGGATAATTTAATAAAATATGTGCAAGATCTGCACACTGAGGGACTTTCCTGGTGGCGCACTGGTTAAGAATCCGCCTGCCAATGCAGGGGACATGAGTTCAATACCTGGTCTGGGAAGATCCCACATGCCGCGGAGCAACTAAGCCCATGTGCCACAACTACTGAGCCTGTGCTCTAGAGCCCACAAGCCACAACTACTTAGCCTGCGTGCCACAACTACTGAAGCCCGCACACCTCTAGAGCCCGTGCTCCGCAACAAGAGAAGCCACCACAGTGAGAAGCCCCCATGCAGCAACAAAGAGTGGCCCTCACTCACCACAACTAGAAAAATCCCAAGCACAGAAACAAAGACCCAACACAGCCAAAAATAAATAAATAAATTTATTTTTTAAAAAAGATCTGCACACTGAAAACTATGAAACGCTGCTGAGAGAAATTAAAGAAGACCTAAATAAATGGAGAGATATACTATGTTCATGGATGAGAAAATGCAATATTGTTAAGATGTCAGTTTTCATTAAACTGGTCTACTGATTCAGTGCAACCCCAAATAAATCCTAGCGGATTTTTAAGAACAGAAATTGACAACTTGATAATAAAATATATGGAAAAAGACCTAGAAAAGCCAAAGCAATTTTGAAAAGGAAGAACAAACTTGGAGTGCTAACACCACCTATTTCAAGACTTACTGTAAGGTGAGATTAATCAAGACAGTGTGGTTCTAGTGGTTCAACAGAACAAAGTAGTGAAGTCCAGAAACAGATGAACACATATATGGTCAACTGACTTTCAATAAATGTACTAAAGCAATTTGATGGGGAAAGTATAATCCTTTTCAACAAATGATTCTGAAAAACTGAAT